CATGTTTGATCCACATTCCTGACAAAACCATGTGGATCATAGGAAGAGATTATTTGTACACTGATGAGTTAGATTCCTTGGTGTTTGTCATTGATCTCCTCTTCAAATGTCATCAAGAACTTCAATGTTTAATTATCTGAAACTTCACTGGACAGGAGCATTACTCCGAATGCAGGTCCCTTGATTCACAGCCCAATTTTGCTTACATGCAAATAGGGCTTTGCCATCTTATCATACAGTTGACCCAGGGATGTAGTCGAGTCCCTCGAGTGTCTGCAATTCCTTGCAAGAACATCACTCGTATGTCCTCCAGTCCCAATTCGGTTCACAAGCTGTTCAAATGAGATTTGAAAAAAGCATTCCTTTGTTGTTGTTCATCCAGCCACGGGCATCACGAGGGGGAGGGGGGGGGGGCCAAGGGGGGAGGCGCAAGTGCCCCCCCCCCTTGGAAAAGCAACAAACAAACAAAAAAGAAAACAAAAACTAAAGGTGCAAAAAGTCATATTGCTGTTGATTTCATGCACATTTAACGACATGGGCGTCTGCAGGGATGTCAAATTGTGCCCCCGCCCAACCTCGAAAAAAATGATAAATTGAGAATATGCTAGAGAAAGTACCGGTATAAGGATTTTTGGAAATTGTGTGCTTTATCCCCTCTACCCCCTCTAGAAAAAAATCCTGGCGACACCCGTGCATCCACTTGTGAATGAACTTGTGACTTACTTGTGATTTTTTTGTGACTAGACTTGTGAGCAGACTTTAGATTTATACTTGTGATTTATTTGTGACTGGACTTGTGACTGGACTTGCGTTGATGCGATGACATCCCTGAGTCGACCCCAGAATGTACAAAATGTATAAGTTTTTTGTAATTTTGTCATTTTTCTTTTCTTTTCACGTGATTGGTAATTAAGACAGTCCAGCGTTAGATGAACTGCCCTCACGCAGGGAGTTTCGAAACTTGGAAGCCCTTGGTCTCTGGCTTTGCTTTCATTTCTGGATCATTAACTCTAACTGGCCTTTCTCTAGGCTCTAACTATCCGGCCTTCCGAGAATCCATCTGCATGTTTATTTGATTCTGTTGGAGCATAGAGATGGTTGGAGTGAGTCTACAGTAAACTAATTATGCAAACACGGGGTCAGGCATAGGGTACCACCATAATCAGAGTTCATTAGTTTGGGTGTATGAGTTACCATTGTGGTGTTGGTGTTTAAAAGAGTGAGAGAGATTCCTGGTAAATCGCTCAAGAGGTTAGGGTTAAATACTTTTTGAAGCCTAGTATATGTAAACCAAATGAAAGTACTCTAAAACTATCTGGCCTCATCTTATAGGATTGGATTTTTCTACAAAGAACTTGGACCCGTATTGAGTCGTAGGGCTGTGCCAAATTTACTGAATACAATTCAATTGTCAACGGAATATGAAAATAGTAATTAATCAATTGAAATATTTGAAAAATGGGAGTGGTCTCGATAAGATGATGAAAAAGATATAAGTTGCGTGGTTTTATTGCTAGTCACTACCACACCTTTGTTGAAAGGTTGAAAGCCATTATACTAATAAACGTACATACATAAACGTACATACATACATGTACATCAATCTTGTGATGAACATTCCCCATTCATGTCCCGACCAACTAATCGTATAGTCACTTTACTGCTAGTTGCGGCAACGCAACTAATAAAATGAATGGAGGTCCTGACTATGATGAATGGTATAGTGACTAGTGATGACAAGTTGACTATATATTCAGACTCAGTGGCGGCGCTACAGGGTGGGGGGCATGGGGTGGGGGACATTTGCACCCCCAATTGTCTTCCTTGCCCCTCCCCCTCCTCAAGGTTCCCCCCCCCAAAAAAAAATATCAAGCAGAAGAGAAAAAAAGGAAAACATTAAGGCAAAAGAAAAGGGAAAATGAAATGGCCCTAAAGTTATAAAACGTACACGTACCATGTACATGTACATGCATTGTTAATTAATACTGTACATGCTACGGTATGTTTTGAACAGTGCCCCCAAGGGTAAAATGATATCCAGCCCCCCACGTCCGCTTTTCTTTATTTCCACCTGCACAGCCGGTGATTTTTCTATGTCCCCCCCCCCTCCATCCCCCCCCCCCCCAAATTGTAAAGTCTGGCGCCACCACTGGTCACACTAGGCGCACAGCGCACAAATGTACATGTAGATGGAGGTTGCAAATTATGGCTCGTATGTTCTGTCGACATTTAGATCGTGTTGGATTGTGGAGATAAAGTTACAGGTACATTGTATCTCTTGCCTTGAGGGAGAATAATGTATACATGTAATCAGTCACGCTGCAGTTACATGTATTTGGGGCCATCCGGGTTTATTGTTCCAAGTTGTACCGTTTTGACTTATGCCAATTATATTCGACTAACAGATGGTGGAGCTTCACTTGGGCTGATTTGCATTAATTAAAGAGGAGCGATGACCACAGCATACTGCTTTTATGAATTTAATTTTTCTAACATTTTATTTGTTAAATTTACATGTAAGTGGGATAAACCGTCCAGCTGTTGTCGTAGATCTGTTTTGAGTGCCCAAGAAATTGCAATGTTGCAAACAATCACTTTAAGTGACGTTCAAAGAATAATTTATTCAACTTGAAGCAACATCATAATGATTCAGACTTTATAAAAATATATCCACAGGAACTGCAAAAATCTGTGTAACCTACCGGTATTTACAGTTTATATAAAAGTAAATATATAGGCCCTAGGCCTATGGCAAATGCCAATAAGAATCCAAATAATACAATAAGATATGGACACATAAATGTACATGTACATGCCATTCATTATGTGTGGAAAATTTAATTATTATTTGTAACACTGGTGCTTGCAATATCTGTCAATCTTTTCAAGCCTCACAAATATTAATAAGGTTATTATGGTGTGCAGTAAAAAATTGCATAAAAGCCTCATCTTCGTGAGTTATTCCTTGGAGATAATTCAAGGTGTAACACTAGCGTTTGCAACAACAGATTAAGCTGAAATTTGATATGTATATACTTAGATGACATAAGTGTCCAACTACTCGTGAAATAACACCTTGAGTAGATTCCTAGAAATTGAGATAAATACATGGGGAAGTTTTCGAACGATTTCTTCCCGACTTGGAAGGTCAGCTGCAGTAACCAGTATTGACATTTCAGCGTGGATGACGGCGATTTTTTCACTGACATAAAGTGTAGAATTTCTTTTTCTGTCATAATTTAACATTTCAATCATCGTGAGCATAAGTTTCTGATAAACACAACGTTCAAAATGCCATTTTTTTGGGTGGTGCATGAATTTCACTGCTCTTGTTATAGCGTCTAATTACGTAATCGGATTAACTTTGTTTATCAATGAGCCACGCTTTGCCTTCGCAACCATATGGCTGCAATCGTCTACATATGCATGTGTTGACTTCAACACCTCGTTCAATTGAAGTGCAATACTATTTATTGAAATATAATGAAACTGCCTGGGATGTGATTGAGTAGTTGTGCTTCCAAATCATCTTATACTGAATAAGAGCTCACAGGAATTTTTGATTCGGTGGGAATAAAACATGAGGGCAGATAGAATTCAAGGTTCCATTTTAGCTTGTTATTATGAACCCTGGACAAGACCACTCGAGCTGAAGGCTTTGCTGTAATACAGGTAGAGGGCTGTTTGCTTCGCAAGGAGAGGAAAAAGCTCAGGAAAAAAAGGGGGGAAAAATCGAATCGCACAACTTCACATCCCTGACAAAAGTGCATTCTTGTAAAACCACTCAGCCACTCAACAGGCACTAACTTTCTCTGAATTGCTCTCGCGGTCAAATCATGCTCAAAATCATTAATGAAGTAGGAATGAGACACCACGCTTATTCTTTCCGCCATGCCGTAAATTATGACAAGGGCCCCTGGTAATGGTTTGCAGAGAGCCGGGGTGCTAAAAGGGCAAGACATAATTGGCGATCTAACACGACACAGCCACCATGAAATTGAGATTAAATCCACCAACCAACCTTGAAATGAATATAAACTGTCAATGTGCATTCGATCAAAGACGCATCAATTGGTTAGCCATGACACCTTCCCCCCCCCCCCCCTATCCTAGACCAATCCAAGCATGCTAGCACAGTACATTCACATACAGAGGCCCCCTGCAATGGCGAAAGCGCTGCGCCAGCTATTGTACAAAGCAACTGCCCCATGACGGATTATCTGAACAATAGCTGTGACATGCTTTCGCCATTGATGGGGGCCTTCATGAGCTTACAGTAGAATTTTAATAGTGGACCAGCCAAAGTGGAATATTACACTTTATCTTCAAGCAAACCTGTATCCTGATTGGTCGATCTATGGCAACAACAGTGCGATATTACTGTATCGCACGGTCCATATTGCACTATTCCAAGATGCTAGTGACATTCCAGCTGCATGCGCTAAACCGCTAAAATGTTCGTGTAAAGCCAGCTACCGGTACCGGTAGTTTCCAACTTGACTGGACGTTCCAACTTTTGGACGCAGACACGTACAAAAATTCCATAGGGTTGTCTTAGGGGAGTGGCTAACTCGCAAACGGCGAAAGGTCAATAATGTGCGGCATGTGATCTGAGCGTGTGAATTGTGACACATGCTGGATGTGTGAGACTTGTTAGGTCTTAATACTTTGGACTCCAAAGTCCAATACCACACAAACCTACTTTAATAGCAAATATCTGTACTTACAGGGGCTTAATGAGAATGGTCCTGGTCCTTGCATAGTAATTTAAATGTTGAATCTTTTTTACTCATTAGCACGTTTTAACAATAAAGTTAATGCTGTCATGTAGGATGTGTTTTTAACACATGACACTTTTTGTTTTGCCTCAGGTGCCATGTGTCCCCCAGGTGTAAAAAAACTCTTTAAGTCTCGCATCACGTCAATACAACTTGTAACTATTTTTATGAGCTCTATATACTCAGTAAACTAATTCTTGCCTCTTGTATGGTATTATGTAGGGTTCATCCAATGAGTCGGTATTTGTAGGAGCTGTGGCTGCCCTCGTCCATCTCAGCATTGCGGTGGGACCTCAGCTTAATCCCTACCTCAAGTCGGTGCTCAGTTATGTGAGTAGGAGTAACAATCCGAGCCCCAACCCAACCTCTCACCTGCCACCGTGAACTCAACCTCACCCTACTGCATCCCCACCCCCACTTCGCTCCACCTACCAACACACCTCCAACCATATCCCACCCACCCCACCCATAACCAGACCTGCACTTCATTCCACTCCTTTTTTATTCAGCCCAAAACAGCCACACCCCACATACACTGCATCCTACTCTCTCTAGTCCAGCAGTCCACACCCCAACCCCCACCCAACCCATGCAATGCCTCAACCCACCCATCTATCCCCTCAGAATCTCAAGTCCCAACCCACCAACACCTCACCCAAACAATAACAAGACCACACCCCACCTACCTACCCACAGCCTAACCCAACAACATCCCAATCTATTCCCACTCCACTCCTATGCTACTAAGAACCCCACCCCACTCCACCCCACTCACGGTCATCTGGCCAACCCAGCAGCAAACTTCATGTACATGTTCGTTTCATCCTTAGGCCAAAAAATAAAAAGTCTCCGGTTTCTGGTGTGCGCGCGCGTCGCCGTAGCCATGCGCGCCGGCAAAATGAAAAAGTTTTTCAATGAAAGATGATGTCTCAAAACCACCTAACTCAATGGTTTGACTGAATTCCTGCTGCTGCACAATTTTAACATGTTTTTAGATGGGGTTACGATCAAGAATAAGCTTTATGTGGCCTCTCTGGACTCCCATATTTGCACTAAGTTTAGTCAGGCACCATTTGCAGTCATCACCCAACATTTGAAGGGAAAAAAAACCGGTAAAAACAAAAAAAAGCCGCGTTGCCGCACCACTTTTTGGGCAAGCTCCATACAAGAACCAGAGACTTTTTTTTTTTTTTTTTTAAATCAAGTTTTCCAAAAATTCTGAATTTCTTCTCCTGTGGCTCTTTATACAATGCAGCTGTCCAAGAAATTGATGGATAAGAATTACAAGGAATCTATCACAACAGCTCTGCAACAGATCGAGCAAGCCTGTGGCAAGGTAGGTGTTAGCTAGGATTACAATCCCACGTTCATCGTCTACGTGCAAGGACCAAGAAAGAAATCAATTCTTTTCTACCGTCTTTTTACTTGTATAAAGCCTACTCAGATGTACGTGTAACCTTAAGGCAGATTTACCCTAGTTCATGCTTTAACGGCAGTCCCTGGGGTGTTGCTGTCTCATTCATTCTTAAGGCTGAAATATTACAAATACAAAACCTACATCAGCCATTCCCTCGTAATTAATTTAAAAAGCAAGCGATTACCTTGTCTGGAGGTTAAAAACATATTTTAGCCCCAAGTGATTTGAGACCTTTTCACTTTTTATTGCTTCTTCTAGAGTTTCTGTGAATATTCCAAAATAACGTGATTTTACATCAACGTCACTCGTTCATCGGATTACATTAAGCCAAAGCATACTACATGGGGTAATAATGTCATGTTGTTTGAGGCTTACAACATCTCCCTTATGGCGAATTAACCTACTTGTCACAGTGCAATCCACAAGATTGCCTGCTTTCTAAAATTGAACCGCAAGTCCCACAGTGGTTTTGTATCGCAGTATTTGACTGTATAGATTGAAATATCAATTATTTAGACATGTCGTTCAAAACAGGAGCCTCAAGACATAGAGTACACATGGCTTTCCCCCAAAACCTTTTGAGCTTGCCTATTCAGTCACAAAATTGAATTCTACGTTTGGGAGGTTGTCAAATTGGATATTTTTGTTGAACCTGCACTAATTGAAAATCAGTGCAATTCCCCCAAAAAATGGAAACCTCTAGATCATCGCCTATACCAAAATCTTGCCGGATGAAGTGAGATTTGTTTGGATGCTGCTGTAATTGCAAGTCAATAATTGATTTAAACCCCTTGCCGTTGCCGCAATCTCCAGTCGAATGCTTGTCATGGAAGTCAACATGCATGACGTTGTGGGTCAATTGTGTCAAAACCAGCCCCAGGCAACACTGGACAACGTGAGCCGATTTCATCAAAACACCACTCGGGGATCAAGTGGGGATGTGCAAATGGCAACAGTGGAGTACCAATTTCCACCCCAAAAAGAGAACAAGACTTAAGTTTCAAATAAGCTGCCAAAATTGCCTTACAGCTCGTTGCTAGTATCTTCACGTGGAAGGATCTAATTTAGTGGACGCCACGTTATAAAAAGGGTTGACTTACTTTTGGAGGAGGGTAGTATGAGAGGTTTTTGAGTGGTTTTTCTACAGGGTTACTCAGGTTTTTTTTAAGGGTAGTAGAAACAAAAATATAAAAAAAAACCATACATTCTTCAGTTACCATTGTTACCTCTGCCAAGGCGTTTTTTTTTTCATCAGTGTTAGTTTGTTTGGTTGGTTGGTTTGTCTGTGAACAGGATGACTCCAAATGTTAGGGACGGATTTTCATGACATTCTTTTAGGGATGGTCCTTGGTACAACTACAAATCGATTAGATTTTGGAAGTGATCCGGATCTGGGTCTGGATGAAGGATTTTTTTTAAAAGGATTCTTCACCATTTTGTATGTGGAAATATGCTATGTGTAGAGACCATGAACCTCTGTGTACCACTGAACAGCGTCGTGTGCGTGCACTGACCCAGTGACCCTGTATGCCTTATCACCCACCTAATCTAACCACACAGGTCAATGGACTAGACCATTTTATACAATGGGGAGTGGAGAGGCACGCCGATACAGGAATAGTACATGTAGACTACAAATGTTTGAGTTTAAGGATTTGTTTTATTGAATAACTAACACTGTCTTGCACGATATAACATTGCTATTTTTCGATAAAATTGGAATATGATCGATCCTGTTGACATTTTAAATATGCAAATAAAATTTGGAAGCCCAGGGGATATGCGAGCATTTCTTTTGGGTGTACTGACAATATGGCGGGCAATTGTTCAGCCTTGGCGGAGGTTTACCCCTGTGGGTGCTTTCTAGTTGAATATAGGATAACCATTTCACTAATTTCACTACAATCTAATGAGGTAGCGGCAGACTTCTGTTCACTGTCCGATCATTTCTAATTTTTTTCCAACAGGAAAGCCAGGCAATTATCAAATCAAAGATCCCTACCTATTCGTCCATCTTATGATGAAGGGTCAGAAGTCGTGTGCCATTGTACATATGCTTCAGAGCAGCTGCTGTAATTGTGTAAGAGGTAGATGCAGTGTGGTGAGGACAGAAAGAGTTACCAGTCACAACAAAAGACCATCAGCCGAATCATCAATAGGTCATGCGTTACTCAATCATCATTGTGATTTTATCCCTTATGGAGTAGATTTTCTGATTTGCCCTAATGCGGTTGGGTAACAAGCCAGCATTTTCAAAGACCGATTCCAATGATGATGTAAAAATGAGCAATTTACATACATGTGTATATTGCTCCTTGAAAAAAAACACCAGATTTTAATAGCAGGTGAAAAGTTCCACTAATTTTCCATCAACCTTCTGCACTTTGGCTATTGGCGGTGCCTTAGGCTGTATTGATTTTGATGTGCATAGCTGAAGAAAGGATTCGGTGCTCTCCTCAGAAAATGGTTCCCCAATTGTTTTCATGGTACTACCTGTGCATTCACCATTTCAAGGACAACGAATATTCATGATATGTAAATGTAGGAATGAGAACATTGTTGTGTTTTAAAGAGAAACAGATAAATTTATATGGCTTGCTGCCACATGTGTTGGTAAAAACAAAATTATATTATATCATTAATACCGAATTTCAGCTTTGAATTTTGAGTATAACAACTGAGATGTACATGTTTTTTTTAGCAATGTTAAGGTTGGATGAAGAGATAGATTGCAACCGCCAACAATACCAATTTAAAAATGTAATTTTAGATTAAATAATTTGTGTTATTTTTTGAAGTTGTTCCTTAATCCAACATTCACTTCAATATACATGTACATACCAGTATTGACATGTGTAATGGATCTTGCATTAGGCCCTACATGTACATGTCTTTAATTGTTAAAATCCAGCTGAATTAGCTGATCTGTACGTGTCTGTAATCAGGCAGTTTTTAAATTGTAATTTTAAAGAGTTTGACTTTTCAATCCGTGTGGAAAATGTTAAACCTTGTAAATATTGTGTACATACGTTGATCATTACACTGTATAAACTGTGAAATGTCTTCTTTTATACCCAGCACGATTTGAGACGAAGGGTTCCCCCCCCCCCCAATCTCCCTATACCCTATGCAAACCCTCGACTATTGTTACCTAACACATCCCCCTAGATATCTTAAACGAATTCCTGAGATTCTGGCAACACAATGACCAACACAAAGGAGGGGGGGGGGGTTCCTTCCATCTCGTATCGTGCTACATATGTCTTCTTCGTCCCAACTGAAGATTGTTTGAGTGTAATTTGTAAGATTTCTTGTTCTTCATTCTTATTTGGAAATTATTTGCCCAACTTTCGTGCTTTAGTTGCATGACACTAAAACAATGAGATTAATCAATTCAAGTATTCGTTTGCAAGGTTGCAGTCGTAGTGTATTCAAGGGACAAACAGTATTTTGTAATTATGTTGACACATAGTGTGAAAGTGTGAACCTGTTTGCAAAGTTTTCCCTTTTTGTGCTGGCAGGCTTTGAAGTATTCGTAGTTTTTCCTTATTTTTCGTAGTATTTTTTTTTTACCTTGTTCCTCCTACTTTTCCTACTTGTTTCTTGAAGCTCCTGTTTTTTGTCCTACAACTCCGAAAAACTAAATTTCATTGCATCATTTTTCATAACATTGTTACGCACACTTTCGTATGTAAATTACACAATGAAGGGCTCGGGCTCAGGAGTACTGCAATTGTACAATGTACTTCCAAGAGCTTAGTTGAGGATGGAGCACAAGTGTTGTGAGTACAGAACATGCTAAATGAGGCTTATGATATCTGTGGACATGGGTGAGCATCAACGAAACCTACTCCTGAAAGCCCGCAAATGTCCTACTTTTATCCTGATTTTGTCCTTGCAAATGTCCTACTTTTATCCTGATTTTGGCCTGTGCTAGCCTCATAATCTTCTGAAGATGGCCCCAAGAATATTGACTGAAACATTGAGTAGTTAATATGCCTGTTTCTTCTCCAAACCGAAACCACCTCCAAGGGCGGATCCAGAACACAATTTTTTGGGGGGCCAAAAAAATTTTTGGTTCCCCCAAAAAAGTGGGTCAAAAAAATTACGGCGTGGGGTTCGGGGCCCGCTTAAGCTTATAAGGGCCCGAAAACAATTTGGATTCTAGATGCTCTGTGGTGCGATCTGAGGCAATTTCTGACCACTTTAACCAATTTTTTTTTTGAGGAAAAGATGGTGGTGTACTCATTGCCTGCCTTTATTGCGATGTCACATAAAAAAAAAAAAATTGGTTTCGTTTTGGGGGGGGGGGGGGGGCCATGGCCCCCCCCCCTGGATCCGCCCTTGACCACCTCTCACTTCAGAGTCTGCAAAATTGTGCGATTCAGCGCGCAAAACCTCAAATTGCAATTGTATGACCAAAATACATGTAGGCTACATGGAAAATCCAGAAATGTAGATTACTATGTGTGGGTCTGTGTTTGTATGTGGGTGCATGTTATGGTGTAAATCGAGGACACACACGTGCAACATCATGGATGAATTGAGGACAGAAACCATATCGAAGACGACCTGGATTAGAAACTTGTACAAAATCAATGAGAGCTGTTGCATAAAAGTTTAAACAAAGGAAAATGAAAGAGCAACAATAGAAAATCCTCGATTTACACCATTAACAAACCTGGATGGGTACGAGTTTATTTCTGCATTCAATAGGGGGCGTTGAACAAAAGAGGACAATAGGGTCCGCAATTCCCGAAGGTCCCCAATTTAGAATCGTGTACAAAACATATGGGAGGTCTTCCTAAAAAGTTGATTACAGACAAAAGAGGGACGATGGGGGGTCCGCGATTACAGGCAATTACACACGTGTGTGTCCAAATGTCGCTGGGAGTGGGGAAAAGATAAAGAGGATTCCCCCTCCCCGGTCACTAAGCCCCTGCCCCCACCCCCGCCTCCCCTGATGCATGGGCGTGTTTATTCATTGTGAAGAAGGGATCAAGTACCAACAAAAATGATCTAAAAGCCTTTATTGTTAGCTTTTAGATAATCGAGATGAAGTTTGCGTTCTGAAAAATCTACAATGATGTTTTCATGAAGTACCGACTTAAATGGGATTTACTTTTTAATTTGTATATAGTTTGAATACCGCATGATTCTGAGTTCACATTTTGATTTCAATGTACAGTTGTTTATGAGACTTTATCCTTGCTATTTGGTGCTGTGCTGCCAAATGGCGTTGCTTCCGTTGGCCAAAAGGCAAGTTAGTTGTTCTATATTGTTGAAAATGTATCAATATGCACTGTCTATGAAAAATAATAAAGTTATTTCATGAAGTTTTAATTGTTGACTTTGTGACTTAATGACGACTATTTTCCATGTGACTTGAAATTCCAATCGTGAAGCAATTTCTATTTCTAGTTTTCCGACCCATTGAACTTCCTTTGATTCATTCCTTAAAACGAAGCTTTGCATTTTCTCAAAAACCATAACTCCGATCTTACATTGCTTCACTATATAGGGTGGATAAAAAAAAAAAAAACCGAGATATTATTGCTAATTGGAACAGAAGTAGGGCACGTGTGAATCGAAGGGAGATATCCTCTGTTAGGGTTGAATCTCCTCTTTAAAATGACACCCTGATCATGTCATTACATTCACGGTTGACTGAGCAGGGACCAATTTTATGAAAGAGTCTATTTAGAGAATTGCACCACATTTCAATTGTGGTTTTTGTTGTGTCAATTGTCACAGAGTGAAAGGCTTTGGTTTCAAATCAAGGCAGGTGTGGGAAAAAAAGATTTCGCCATGAAAAGTGGCGCAAGTCTCTAAATAGACCCTTTCATAAAATTAGTCACTGCTCAGTCAACCGTGAATGCAAGGACACGATCAGGGTATCATTTTAAAGAGGAGATTCAACCCTAACAGAGGATATCGCCCTTCGATTCACATGTGCCCTACTTTTGTTCCAATTAGCAATAATATCGCGGTTTCCTATTTTTTTTGATCTACCCTGTATTGTACAACATTTTAATAATGCTTTCAAGCATCCTTCATTGACGTAACAAATGCAGAGAAAGGACCAATAGCTAGTCTTCAGCTGTCGCCGCTTCTTTCGAAATGGATATATATTTTTCAAAAAGAATTTTATTTTTCTCACGAGAGCTGGCTTGGCGTGATTACAACGATTTGATAGTCTTCGAAGTGCACAAAATACGTCAGCAACAACTTAACAGAACAAAACTTTCCACATTCCACAGAGGTCAATGTTATTTGAGTGTGACCTCATCAAGTTTATAATCACCTTATAACACCGCCGAGAATATAAAAAAAAAAAAATAGGTTTGTTTTAATGGGTGCGGGTCGCCGATCGTGTGAAATTGAAATACAATATGTTATTACCTTCGTCCAGCAGGTGCAATATGAGTAGGCTTGACAATTAAAATGACCGCACAGTAAAAATTAGCTGCAATTTTACAGCGGCGTTTTGTATCAGTGGAGATCGCCTTTCATTATATTACATGGTCTTGTGGAAGCCGCCTCCATCAAGCTACGGCCGACTGCGACGAAATTCACTCGTTCACACCTCCCTAATTAGTCTACAGAATATCCCCTTGCACGGGAAGGAGACAGAGAGGGCTCCCCTGGCCAACGGGCGACACTCGGACTACCTAATGTCCAAGAGACCAGTTGTAGTTCGCATACCACAATGCTTTTCGTTTCTTTCCTTCACAATATTTTGTGAACAAGATCATTGTGTACACCAGTGTCCTTGCGTGCAAGGCATATAGAGTATACGAGCAAAGTGTAGAGAGTGACGAGCAAAACAAAGGGAAGGATCTGTTTGGATGGGGGGGGGGGGGGGGGAGGGTTCGTTTAGCAGGCACTTGCTGTGCTCAGTTTGGCATGATTTCCCTATTTTTGCGACCGTGAAGAGGGAGTTTTAGACCCCTAACCCTCAGTAGATTCGGTATCCGCAACTTTAACGTCCTTCATTACCGAATGTCACTTGCGACTCGGACTGGTTGAAGGCTGGTGAAATTCGGGCAGTGCTATCGTATAGGATTTCCCCAGCGCCAATGAATAGGCTATACGCGGTCCCATTGTGTAAACCAGATCAGACGTATGAAAAGACTTCCAGTGAATCACCATTCTGATCATTGCGCACTGATAATACAACCGACATCATATCAGTGCGCATATTAGACCGCTTTACCAGTTTGTCTTATTATTTTCTATTGAAGCGTCGCCGTTGCTTCAATCCAGGGAAGGGTCTTTCTCTCGATCATGTGATCCTAGTTTGCACTTTTCTCCATATCGATTTTGTGAGGTTTTTTTTGTAGCAAGGAGTGCATCGTATTTCAGTGAAACAGGTATCCTCCACGCTCGGTTGTATGGAATGGACACCAAGCAGGTCCGTTTAGTCATGAAATTCTATATAGGCATGGGAGAGAATAGCTAACCAGAAGCTATCAGGAAATGCATCTCCAGCTACCTGCTTCACTTGCCGAATACAATAATAATATATATCGAGAGAGAGATATATATATAAAAAGGTCGAATAACTCTCATTAGCATCCAGGCGTAAAATACTATGTTGCTGGTCGTTCAACTTTAATATAGGTTTTCCCGGACAATTTTGGAAAATGTGCATTTGAATTTGTAAACCATTATTTTAATTTGGCGCTAGTTTTTAGAACGATATCCAGGTTTCATTTTCGCAATAACAGCATTCGATTTCATCATTCAAAATAAATGAATATGTATAACGTTTCATTTAAAGGATTACAAATACTTGATTAGGCTTGCAGTTCGACGTATGCGTTGCCGATTATTACGATTTTCATTTTTTTTTCATTGTGACACGGGCTGAGTTGAAGTCTTTTTGTTATGATTTCAATTGAAATAAAGTATACAAATCATGATATAACTTTGATTGCTTCACAAATTAATCAATGTATTGTATTGATCATTAATGTGTTTGTTCTATATACACAAAGGCCTATGTGAAACGTAGGGAAATGAAATGTTAAAATGATATAAATCTGACAGGCATATTGGGACGGTAAAAGGAAACATCACGTGTCATCTTACATGGGATCTGGGGACTTGTTATTGTTGGTTCTGTATTGTTATGTCTTTCTTAAAGTTCTCTCTCATTTGTTCACTTCGATTGTCTATCCGTCAATGACCTGTCTATACACCAAGACATCGAGGGAGATGTCTGAGAATAGTGCACTTCGCAGGTGCAGCCACCTCCTGGAGACAGAGGGATCTCCAGACTTGCAGGTTCACACCAGCTTAGACTCTTAATTGCGTCTTGGTCTCCAAATCTGTCCTGCCATTCAGGTAGCCCCAGCGTGCGCTTCACTCCCGCCTTGAAAGCTGAGTGCGCCATTTCCGTTGGATTTAAGAATGGCGAGTACGGGGAAGCAGCTTGATGGTAAAATTGCCAGCATTAGGGGTGGTTAGGCTCGGATTATGCGTTCACCTGCGGGGAATAACATACCACATTACCGTACAGTTGTCGCTAAGAACTCATCAAAAGTCCCTCTTGTCACAGTCCCTAATGATATCCTGTGAGCCACAAGTCCAACCTCACCAGAAATGGCAAACGTGGTGTTGACTTGCTTGCCTCTCTGGCCATGGACGACACGCCTCGCTTGCACTCCACGAGGAGCGCGACCATAAGACCGACGGATCTGAAGTTGTAACTAGTCTCGTCAATGAACAAAGTGTGTCCAAAGAACACCAACCAGTGAGAAACCAGTTTCCAAATATAACTCGTGCATCTAATACGCGTGGCTTATTCATGTGTTCTGGAACATCTTCCTCTAGTTTAAGAGTTATAAGCATATCATCTAGAGTTCTAGCGATGGTACTAGTGGTCACGAAGGGCTTATCGGGAAGATCAGCTCGCAGTTGAGCATTGAGTAGACGCAAATTTAGAAGGGGGTTATAATATAGATATCGTTGAAGGGCATCTCTCATGTCGCCGTCAATCTTCTGGTTTATTGGTCCTCCTTTCGGCAGCTTGTTAATACGACGACCATCTCGGAGATATGTGCCAACGACTGATCTGGCCGTTGAGTGCTTGATGCCCAGCGTATCTGCTACCTGCAGATAGTCAGCGTCGTCAGCCTCAAGAGCATCGATGAGGCGATTTCGGTCAACGTCCGAGATTCGTCTGTATCTCCCTCTTGCAGCCATTATTGGATATTTTAGGACTATGTGAACTGTGACACTTGGTTATATGATGCGATTGTGGCAAATGCTGAGCAAAAAAAAAAAGAACGATTTTCTTCAGCTTAGGTTTTTATATAGGATTTGTTACAATAGTTGGTAATCTGTTTTAAAAAAAATACAAAATTGGTTTAGTTCAATCACATGAATATTCAAACATTCAATCATTCAATCAAACATTTCTCGTGTTACTTTTGCTAACACATCAATGAATTCCAATGCTTTACCATGCATACGTTAAATAACACTGCTCGGGAAATCGGCTGCACGTTTACCGAAATAGATTGACGATAAATTAAAAGGAAAACAGGATTGCGGATGTGACTTCGATTTCGCGTTTAAAATGAAATGTCAATACACTAAATGCAGTGCACATTCGGGAAATCGTACGCTGATTTTTTTTTTAACAACTGAATGCACCTTTATGGAAATAGAATTATTATTTGTTAAATAGAAACAGGGACTTTAAACGTTCATTCTATTTCGCACGAAAATGAATGCTCTTTTTTTTTTACAAATTCGTGTACACATTTTCCAAAATTGTTCAGGAAAACCTATATATATATGGCACGAGATCCGCTTTATAGGGCCTACTTGAAGACAAACGTTTACCAGTGTGGTGTGAAATTTGTACTAGGAAATACGGACTCGTTGGATGTGTTGCGCATGCGCTTTCGTGATTATCTCCTGCGGCTGGTCACTTGAAAAATTTGACAAATGTGAGGACAGGACAGCAGTCACACAGGGCCTTTAGTGAGTTAATAAGGTTGAGATTAAAGGTTTAAAGAAATAGGAAACAATGGCATAATGGTTTGAAACAGTAACGAATAGGCCTACGTAAGAGATGAAAATTTGGGAATATCTTTGCGTCCCACCCCGAAACAGACCCCTTCCTGGTTGTGACATCATGAAATCGGTATAGAATAACATATAGCTTGCCAGATCTTGCTCACACAAACACATAGACACTTACGTTTGTTTATGGTGTAAATCGAGGATTTTCTATTGTTCCTTTTCCCTTTTCCTTTGTTTATACTCCAAAAACATTTTTGCAACAGCTGTCATTGGTTTTGTACAATTTTTATAATCGAGGT